GCAGGGATTATAAGCACCGGAAGAGAAGCTCCACTCCTTCTGTGGTGCCATAAGAAAAAATCAGTTATGGAGGACAGTGTTGAGTTTGGAAAAGATAGCTCAGTGTATTTCAATCTATCTCAATCTTAGTTGGAAAGGTCTTTTTTTTCCTCTAGTCCAAGAATCTCCAAACTTGGAAACTTTAGGACTGGTGGACTTCAACTCCCAGAATTCCCCAGCCAGCATGGCTTGCTAAGGAATTCTGGAGTTGAAGTCCACCAGTCTTAAAGTTGCCAAGTTTGAAGGTGTTGGAAGAAATATTCATCTGGTTCAGTTCCAAGTAGGGATAAAGGCACTGGAAACATGGAGGCTGATTGAAAGATGCTTTAATGGAGCAGAACCATCAAGCACATGGTTCTGATGCAGCTGACCACATGGAGTTGAAATCAGGTGGCCTTTATACCTTCTCTTGGGCTTTGAACTTGAGCTTCCTGTTCCTGTGCAAGAAAATGTATTGTATTGGTTGTTGTAGGGGTCACTGCCAACGCTGTAGGCTGTCTAAGTCCCAGGCTTGGTTGAAGCTTGCTGGGTGATGCAATGAAGGGGTTTGTGGTGCCATGTGGTGAGCTCTGCTGCTATGTGATAGAGGGCTAATCCCATCATCCTGAAACTGAAGGTCTTTTTTCTTGTAGATAGGCTGGCCCAGTCCTGTTGAGGCTATTAACAAAAGTGGGGGCTGCTTTCCAAGAGAATGTTTCTCCTTTAGGGAAACAATATTCTGCCTTTTTAATATTTCTCAAAATATTTCATTCTCCTAGGAGACGGGTGGGTGCTAATCAGTGGTGGGTTTCAAAATTTTAAGAACCTCTTCTGTAGGTGTGGCCTGCTTTGTGGGAGTGGCTTGCCAGCCATGTGACTGGGTGGGAGTGGCTTGCTGGCCATGTGACTGGGTGGGAGTGGCTTGCTGGCCATGTGACTGGGTGGTTGGTTTAGTTCCAAGGGACTAGAGTAAAAGCCATTGTAGAAAGTTAGCACCATGGGTGAGTTCCTGCCAGTTCTAACCTCTTCTATGGCACACAAAACCATCCTGTGAGGAACACGCGGCCTCACCGGCTCCTCTTCCCCGTTCCTGTGCACACATGGGCATTGGCCATCTGGCCTTTGTGTGCGTGGCAAAATCTGGAAGGCCAGCGTTCTGGCACCCATGCACACATTGGCACCCAAACTTCCGGGTTTCCGTTGCACGCATGTGCAACGGCCAGCTGTTTGTTGGGCCTGTGCCGGAAACTAGAAATTTGGGTGCCAGCACACGCATGCACAATGGAACGCTGCTCTTCTGGGTTTTGGTGCTCCCACACGTGCGAGGACCAGCGAGGCCGCACGTCCCCTCGCGGGATGGTTTTGCGTGCCGTTTCCATCACGCAGGTCAGCACATAGGTACGAAAAAGCTTTGCCATCACTGGTATAGAATAAGAAGAAAAGATGCCCTATCAATCAATGCCTGGATATTTGATGTAGACCTCATCGTCTGCTGTTTTATCTCAAAGTGTGTGTCGGGCCTGCAGCCATCTTTTCTTTTGGGTCTTTGGTCTACCACACTTTCTTTAATTGTG